GTTTGCACTGGACGTATAAGCATCATAATTCTTCTACACACTTAAATCTACACACTTAAAGAATGATCACAAACTCATAATTCAAAATCAATTCTTACATGGTAATCCATAGTGGTTTCCAATCTCAATGTGAGGTATAAACACCCTCATCTAACCCAATTAGCCACACTTAATCTTCTTTGATATTTATCATATATATATATATACCTGACTACAATAACATACACTAATAAGAGATTATATCATATCTGTATAAAGAAATCTCAATATTTAAAAATAGAAAGCAAGATCAGTGAACCCTACAAATAAGATTTGTTATTCTTTCATTCAGCCACCATCCCTACCACAGCAACCAATAGAAACAGATTTCCGAACACTTAAAGAAGTAAAGAGTAAGCAAAGAGTGTGATTAACTAGGTAGATAATGCGTTGAACACGAGTTTCCAAGTGTTAGTGTGGAAACCAAAGCGAGAGGGAAACGGAAAGAGGAAACCTGAAAGTTGAGAGCAAAACCAAGGATTGTAGATTATTGGGCGAATTCAACTTGAGAGTTGAGCAAGAAAAAAAAACAAAGAAAGCAAGCACTAAGAGGATAAGGAATCATCATATTTTATACAGATATTTTTAGTTGAAATAAATTGAAAAACATATATAAATAGTTTGTATTTAATGGAAAAACTAATTTCAAAATGTTTCCTTCAAAGTTTTTTTTTATACGAAAAACAAATTGAGTAGAAATATAGTCAAAATTTCAACAAATTTAATTACAATTTTTACAAAGAAACCTAAAACCTACCTGTGTCCTTCAGCTAACAGCAGCATATGCATCCACTCCATCAAAATGTTTACATCACCAAAAATCAAGCCCACACATTGTATTATCTCTCTTCTTTGATTAATGTGACATAATTAATTCATAATTGAAATCCGGCCTAAAGGGCAAGTTGGGGAGAGGTCCCAAATCCCCTCAATGATACCCAAAACCATTATTTCTTGTAGTTAAATGTAATTCAAGTATTCTTTGAACTTCTAATGAACAAAATATTGTTGTCATGAAAGAATTTTTTGAAGATTTGTGACTCAATCGTCTCTATCATGTTTTTTACTTTTCTCAAGATTATATTAGAATGAAGTTGTTTTTGAATCATTTGTAATTGTATTCCTTCCATAAATTTAAAATATCTGTTTGAAAAGAGTGGTTAACTCTACACTTCCCTGGACTTAATTTAGAATTAAATTATAATTGAAAGTTTAAGAATGTGATATAATCTCCATTGTAATATACCAGTTAGTTAAAATTTTGTGAAATATTTTTATTTTTTAATAATATATAAGGTATAATTTTTTTTACTTATTTTTTTAATTTTGATGATGAAAATTTATTTATTTTTTATCTTAAACATAAGAGAATTTTAAAACTTTGTTTCTCTTTCTTCTTTTATCTTCGTTTTCTTCAACAAAGTTAGAATAAGAATCTTGTCAATCCTTCTAATAAATATTTTTTAAATTATTTGGAACATGAAAATGGTGTAAATCGATGGTACTTTTATTCTTACAATATGCTATTTCTGAATTAGTTGTGAAATCAATCTTATGGATAAAAAAATGCTTTGGTGTGTAGAAGGATCTCCAAGATAACTTTTTTTAGGGGATATTTTTCAAACTGCATAACTTCAAGAGATGATTATCTCATTGTTTCAAAATATTTTACGAAAAACATCATGGGATGAACTACAAAACTTCAAGTTCCTTCCTTCAATATTCCCTATTCTTGTGGTGTTATGCAATCAAGGAAAAAAAAATATTAGAAATCAAAATTATGTTATATATGTTTCTTGAAGGGATTAAATGATTAATTATTGTGTAAGAGTTTACATTATGTTAATTGATCATCTTTTCAACATTAAAGGTTAATTCAATGTTGATATAAAGAAAGACAATTAAATTTTGCATATTTTAACTATTTTGAATCTTGAAGGTATTCAATATTATCATAGTTGCTTCTCCTTTTGTAAATATAAATGATTAACACATTATAACAATACCATTATTCACAATAAAATGTTTGATATGTTGCATGCTAATATTCGAAGACCTTTACCTCTATTTTTGGATAAAACTATTTTTATAAGTGTTGTTAACCATTGTTTCTATTTTTGGACATATATATCTTATAATCTTTATTGATGATTTAATTAGTAGGTTTTTAATGAAAAATTAAATATAAATTTAGATAGCACCTTACATAAGTTAACACCAACTTAAAAATGTCTCAAGAATAATAATGAAGTTAAGTTTTTTTTAATGGATGATTTCTTCTTTTCTAATGGAATTATTTATTAAAAATGTGTTGAAACCCTCAAATAATAATAATATTAAGAGGAAATATTAATAATGTGGTTTGTGCTCTACTTTTCCATATGCAAAAATGCCTAACAAATTTTGAAATTTTGGTATATGACATGTTGTTCATATTTTAAAAATATTGCCAACTTCATTGTTACAAAATGTTATATTATTAGCCTCCAATTTTACTTCATTTAAAAGTTTTTGGGTGCTTTGAGAATATATTTTTTCTTTTTTGAGGAAAGATCATTTGGAAGATTGAATCGCTCACTTCTGATGCCATTGATGTATCCTTACATAAGGCACATTAGAGTGAATTGGTCTTGTTTTGCACCAATCCTTATTCATGTTGAACGCATCCACACACAAAATAAAAAAAATGAAAAAAAAACAACAACACACTATTGGGGGTGTAGAAAAAGCAGCCCAAACTTATGGATGATCTAAGGCCCAAAGTATATTCAATTGGCCTCTATTGGAGAAAGTTAAAAAACAGTGAACAGATCACAAAAATAAAATCTTAGCTTCCTTTTCTTTATCCACTGCATAAAAAATAGATCAATGTAAATGAAGCATGAACATGTTGATGAATTTCCCAGAAAGCGTTCAATCATTTCTGCATCTAACACTCCTAATATCACCCAATAAGTAAGTAAGAACATGCATTCCTACAGTTTTAAAAATTGAGGACGAGTTTTTCTTCTTTCAAAACAATGGGGGTGTCAAACTTTGAATGAAACAAAATTAGGATGCTAATCACATTGCATCAAAAGTTAGCTTTTGTCTCTAAGAACTTGAATTTATGAAGGGATTGGAAGGCAATGAGTAAATAGTGGAGAGGTTAACACGTGCAAATTGATGCCTATCTTGAATGCTATTTGTCTTTAAGTTTCATAGGTAGGTGATAATCTATGATGTCCCTTTTCTCCTTCCCTACTAACTAAAGTAGGGTACCCAAGAAAAAAAAAAAAATTACAAGTACATCACATACCAAATATTCGGCATTTGAACATAGCCTTTGCAAAATCGATTTGTATGTACGATTCAAAGAGACTGGTACATGAACAATTTAAATCTTGTTCCTGGAAAGAGAACCAATGGAACAAACAAAATAAAGTGGCTTATCGAATGTTTTCCTCTTTGTTCAGAGAACAATTGAGGCACACATTTTTCTTTCTTCTTTCTTTTTTCACGAGATCCATTTTCTTTTCTAATTTTCACCCTTTTCTGACATTCCCATCATCACTGAACCAAATGAAGCTGAATATTCACTTTACCCTTATTTCTGTTTCATTTACTTCCCTCTCCAACCCTTCCTACATGAAATAAATTAAGAAACAGTTTTTCTGAAAGCAAGATCCACCCCATCTAAGAAAACCTTTCTTTCCATTTTTTGCTCAAACGTATCACAACCTTAATCATATATAGTGTACAATTCATCTTCCCTTTTTAGTCTTATTCTCATATCACCCCAAATGAGATTCGAATTTTATATTCTAATTCAAGTACTTAGCCGTTAACTATTGTGAAGAGTGTTCCCTTAAGCACAAGCGAACCAACCCCCTACAAGACTTTACTTGCTTTGTTAACGTTACTTTTGAAGGGGCCAAACCAGAGTTGGGTATGAATTAATTCCATAAATATATAAATGAATATATGAATGAGGGGATTGAGTACAAGGTAGGGGTAGGTTTAAAAGTTATGATAAACAGTATTTGCACAAGACAAACCCACTTGTGTCTCTTCTTTTAACATGGGTAAATAATGGTTTTATTCTGGAGCAAGAAATCAAAAGAGAACAACCTAAGAAGCAAAGTAATGAAACCCCAAACATTGGAAACAGGGAAAGAAAACACTTGGGGATTGAGATTATGGAGATCTACCTTGGGAGAGGATTGCTGAATGAGGAGCTTTATGATCACTTTTCAAAGCACATTATTATATACGTATCGCACATAATAATTGCCTTATGCTTGCTTATTCACATGAGAAAAAAACAGAACATTCCTAACGTTAAAAGTGGTCTAATCTACGCCATGCTTTCGTGTTTTTTAGTTTTACCTTTTCTTCAGATTTTTGAATTTCATAAGCAGAACGTATGCATTCGTTATAAAAAGAAATATTGATCTTTTACCAAATAATAACAAGAGGAATAATTCTTGTCTTTGCTTGGACTGAGTATAGGCTTTTTTGTTTGATAACATTTGTGTTTTCTCTTTTACGCATAGATTGAAGATAAAGAGATGTGAAAAAAAAAATAACAAAGATGTGATTAAAGTGTCGGATATTTTTTGAATTCTCTTGAAAACGAAAAACCCAAGTTGAGAAGGAATGGCTTTGGACCTTGACTATGCTTTTCTTACTTAACAAGATCTAGTAAGAACACATCTTTAGGTAAAGCATGGCCCCAGATTGTGACACGTGGAATTCCCATTTGTGATAGGAAAAGAGAAGAGAGAGTTGCATTGGTGGCATTGCAGAGAGAGAAAGTGGGTGAGAGTGAGAGAGAGAGAGAGTGAGTGAGTGAGATTGTGTTGTGCTACAGTTTTTATAGTGTGGTTTTGTTGTCCCTCCATTCCAAGCATTCTTTGCTTAAAGAGAGGTTAGTCCCGGGAATAAAGCCAAGGACCAAAAACAGTAGTAATGGGTTAAAGTTAAAGCACATCATCACTTGTTCCTTCACAATGCCAAAGCACCAAAAATATTTCCACCAACTTCTGACAACCGACCATAGCCAGTCTCACACTCTCCTCAATCCTCACCAAAAACTTCCCTCTGCTCTTCTCACTGCTCTCACCCCCTACTCTCTGCTCTTCTGTCCGGTCACCGTACAAATTACTTTAAATACTGGATTTGGGTTACAGAGAAAAGAAACAACATACTAACTCACTACACCATACATGTATTTGTATATACATCATACACCCACTCCCCAAAGACCAATGCACTTTTACTTCTTTCAGATAACTTTTCTAGTTATACTTCTTTCCCTCACTTCAACATTTTACTTCCATTCCAATTCTGCTTTTGGGTAAATCCCAAATTATCAAATTCTTCACCTTTCATTGGAACTAGACCAATCTGGCTACCCACACTCGTTTCTTCACCTTCAACCATTCAAATTGGTCGTTAAAACTTTTTCTTAGTTTTTATAATTTACATCAATAATTGTCTAAATAGTTGTTTTCTAGGGACAAATATAAGGTTTATTCCGTTTTCTTTTTGTTACCTTTTTCACTGTTTTAGTGTAATGAATAGGCATGTAGAAACAATTCACTGAGCAGAGAAAGGTGTGTTTGGTGGAATTGTAGATGAGGAACTGAGCAGGCACAATAACATGTCATTAATGAAACGTCTTATTTTCAGCAGGCTATTTCCAAACAGTGCAGACACTTTTCCCACTCTTAAGATGCTTTCTTTTTCTGGCTATGATTCATCTATTTCAACCTTCGTTGTGTGGGACTATCAATTTAAATTTAGTTTTTAAACTATAAGCTTAAGATTTGAGATATCATTTTATCACTAGACTATAATTCTAAAGATTAATTTAATATTAAATGAGAAACTATTCTATTATTAAAATATAATATTTATATATTAATTTAAATCTTTTACACATTTAACACTTAATCAATATTTTATTCCTTTAAAAAATTAATCAACTATTAAATTGTACATTTTTCTCTTTTTTATTTATACGTATCCATACCATTATGTTAAAAAAAATATTTTTATTTTGTATTCTAAAAAGTAGTATATTGTTTGATAATTGTTTTTTTTTATATTTAACTTGATAACTAATTTTCTAATTATCTAATAAAAAATTTAAACACACGTAGACTTTTACACATGTGTTTTCCCTAGTCACACCAATCACGATTGAGTTACGTACAACTATAACCATGGCGTAGACTAAAAATGTACCACTACGTTCAAAGCATACACGTAAAACTACACATTTTTTTCACCCTGAAAAAAAAAAAAAAGAGCCCGATATATTAATAATGTTGGGTAAACTCTATTGTGATATTTATCACTTGGTTATTTACTGTTTTAAAAAATTGTTTTTATTTTTTTATTTTTAAAAACTGAAAAGTTTGTTTGATGTTTTTATTTTTTTAGTTTTTAGGATAAATGAAAAACAGGAGCTAAGGTACCTCACCCCCTTGCAAATTAACTATTCCATTAAAGGTATATCTGTTACAAATTTAATCTATTATACACAAAACTATTTTTAATTTTTTAATAAAAAGTATTTATTAACTTAATTCCAAAGGACGCAAATAATTTTAAAAACAAAATAAATAAAGTCTACGAATTTGATAGTGTTTTGAAAATTAAACTCAAGTTCAACCAATTCAAAATCATTGTTTCTAAAAAAACTAGATTTTAATTAAACTGGTAAAAAATAAAAAAATTGTTATAAATTAGGATGAACAGTACAATTCAACCGTTCCAATAAAAAATCGATTTAGAAATAAATACTTCTAAAACTTATATTGTAATTAATTTAGAATAATAAAAAATATCGATACAAAATTGAACCAAATATGATAAATCAATCAGAAATCGATCTAGCAATGATTGATTCTATGGATTATAACTAAACCAGTATAAAAACAAGAAAAATCAATACAAAATTGGACCAAACTGAAAATTCAACTAACTATAAATCTGTCTAAAAACTGTTAATTTGAAAAAAAAATACAATTTTTTGATAGAACTTATTCTGATAAAAGAATTAAAGAAAATTTGTTAAAAGAAATTTTTTTATAAAAAATATAATATATATTTTTGTTCTCACATAAATCAGATCAAACTTAAATAATTATTATTTTGTTATATTTTTATCTTATTTTTACTATTATCAATTTTTTTATATTTATAATTTTTATTAGAACTTTAAAAGATATAATAACTTTTATTATTATTATTATTATTATTTCTTTATTTTATATAATTTTGATTAATTAATTTATTATATTATGAAAAATAATATTTTATTAAATTTAAAAGATGAATAAATTTATAATTTAATCTTTAAAACCTTACATCTTCATCTTTCTAATTATGGAGTTTTAAAAATATTAATTTGTATTTCTACTTAATTAAGACATTTATATCATGTCTATGTTATATGTTATGTTACTTATCTCTTTGATTAAATTTTGAATTGTGAAAAATCTAAATTTTACTTCACTCATATTATATTTTTCTTCTCTTGTCTTAGGTAATAATACTTCGTTATGTACACTTTTTTTTTTAAATAGTTATTTAGGATCGGAAAAATGATCAATTTTACGTTCCTTTAATATACTATTCAATTATTAATTAATTAGATTAGCAGGTGAGAAATTTGGTGATGATGTGTTATAGTTTTTATTGGTAAGATTGCATGATTTAAAGACATGAGTTAAACTTTGAAGGTAGAGTGGCATAGTTATCATCATCATCCTTGGAAGGATGCAACAACCATGGCAAAATGTTGTGTTGTGAAACTTGCGTTCTCTTTGACCCACCATTCGCTGTACTCTCCGGCACACACACGCATTAATGGGGTTCGCCCAAAGCCCCTTATTGAGCGCACTATGTTGCTGATGAGAGATAGTGAGTGAGACAGAAGCAGCATTGTGGCACACCCATGCATGCACGTTCAATCCTCCACCATAAACTAAACTCTTCTCTCACACCTTATCATCTCTCTGTTCGGCAACAAACCTACCATGTTGAACCCACCATGTTTCCCTTTCTCCCACACCATCACTCACTGCACCTCCTTCACACTGCACCCTGCCTCTCTCCACGCCATCCTTCATGCAACCCTTTTTCCATTCTTGCCGGAATCTATCAGCATCTTCACCCAACCTTTCTCCCAACTTCACCCGCTCTCCACCTTCCTTCTCTTCACAACGTACCCTTTTCATGCAAAATGGATTCGGATTGCTGCATTTCGATTCACTCAAAAATTACCTATCACACCATTTACTTGCCTATAGTTGTAGTAGTGTGGCTTCAAATTCTTCCATAATAGAATAAAGTAGGTCATGTATCCTATCACTAGGTTACTCATCCGACTATCTAAGTTGACACATCTTATTCACATGTGTTATTCAATTTTTTTAATTTTTACTTATAGATTTCACTTATTTATATATATATTATTCAATTTTTTAATATTTATTTAATATAAAATTTCAACTCACTTTGATTTCAATAATTTCACAAATAAAATTATGGATTAATCATAAGAGAATAGCATACAACTTTTTATCTAAAATTTTAAACTATTAAATTTATGGATCGCTCGTTTATATATTATTTAACCTTCTTATTTTTACACAAGATTTCAACTCATTTATATTTTAATACCTATATAATATATAGAATAAGAAACAAAAAGAGAAATATAAATATGAAAATACATTAACGAAGTGCAAAAGTGTCTATCAACCCTTTATAAGTTGAATATACGAGTCTATAAAATATTTCTATTTTATAAATGTTAATACTGTTTTAGTAATTCTTTTTATACTATTAACTAAAATTTATTATAAGTTACAAAATGTATTTTATTTCTCCTTTTTAAACCTTTTCTTTTATATGAAAGTGAGACTCACAAAAATATGTAATTTTTAATAAATTCAAAGTTAATAATAAAATGCTAGAAAGGGTGTAAGAGAAATGTTACTAGCAGTCCTCTTATAAATAATTTTATATTATATACATGTAATTAATAATGGGACAATTATTACATAAATAATCTTCAATATTTCCTTTATGTGCATGAAACTCCTTTCCAAATTATATTGTCCTTTTTTTTTAAGCATCTGGTTGGATTTTTCCCTCTCTTTCTAAATTTTATTTCTCATTCATTCTCTGTCACATTCCCTCATTCTTTCTTTCTTTTTTATCAAAAATTTCATGAGCACCAAGATCACCTCATTAATCACATTACAAGAGTATTAATGATTGCTCCATTTTCTCTTGCTATAGTGATATGAATCTCAATTACACAATGGCTAATTTAGGATCTTTAGGGTTAAAACCTTGTAGAAAATTTAGTAATTTAGTGATAAGGTGGAAGGAAATAATCACTCTTTCCAAGGAAGGCAACACACAAAGGATGTGAAAGTCCTTTGATACGATCAAATATTCTTGAATCACTCAAGAACTTAGGAGAATCACTCTCACTAAGATAAAATAGATTAACTCTAATATTTCGAATAAAATTCCACTTGTTATTTCTTGATAAAAATGGTTCAGCTGATATAGAAGCATTGTCATCAGAATTACAAAAGACTCAATAAAAGAAAATAAATACTAATAATAACTCATTAATCTAGGAATTAAAAACTATTTAATGGAAACAAATAAAGGCTAATAATGATCCATTAACCTAAGAATTGAAACTACTTAATGACTGATTGTTGGCAACCAAAAGTCAATCAATTATGCACCCCTTGGTCTCTCAAAGGCTAATGACTAAATTTTCAATTGGGTCCTTATTACAACTTAAAACAAAATCAAAATAAAGCCCATTAATTAATTAATTCAAAACATAATTTGGTCAACCAACAATATTTCACTACAAAAAAAACGCTTATTATCTACGGGTAAAATCAGTAGGTAATGACAAAAATCCGTAGGTAATGTCACTTTACCTACAGATTATAATCCGTAGGTAATGCACTTACCTTAACAAAATATTTTTATTTATTACAACCCCCTCCCCTTTATATTATATTTTTATTATTTATTATATATTCGAAACTTTGAATTATTATTAGATTAAGGGAATTGTCATTAGCGGGATTCGAACCCAGTACTTCGAGTTGAAGGTCGATACTCCAACCACTAAGCTATTAGGTTATTTTGAAAATAATTTATAAATAAATTATATTTATATTTATCCGTGTAAATATATAAATATAAAATATATATAAATATAAAATATATTTATATTTTGATATATTTATATATTTGTATTTATATATTTATATATTTATATATTTATATATTTATATATTTATATATTTATGTATTTATATATTTATGTATTTATGTATTTCTGTATTTATATATTTATGTATTTATATATTTATGTATTTATGTATTTATGTATTTATGTATTTATGTATTTATGTATTTATATATTTATGTATTTATGTATTTATGTATTTATGTATTTATGTATTTATGTATTTATGTATTTATGTATTTATATATTTATATATTTATATATTTATGTATTTATATATTTATGTATTTATGTATTTATGTATTTATGTATTTATATATTTATGTATTTATGTATTTATATATTTATATATTTATATATTTATGTATTTATGTATTTATGTATTTATATATTTATGTATTTATATATTTATATATTTATATATTTATATATTTATATATTTATATATTTATATATTTATATATTTATATATTTATATATTTATATATTTATATATTTATATATTTAAATATTTATATATTTAAATAATTATATATTTAAATAATTATATATTTAAATAATTATATATTTAAATAATTATATATTTAAATAATTATATATTTATATATTTATATATTTATATATTTATATATTTATATATTTATATATTTATATATTTAAATATTTAAATATTTAAATATTTAAATATTTAAATATTTAAATATTTATGTATTTATATATTTATGTATTTATATATTTATGTATTTATGTATTTATGTATTTATGTATTTATGTATTTATGTATTTATATATTTGTATATTTATATATTTGTATATTTATATATTTGTATATTTATATATTTGTATATTTGTATATTTGTATATTTATATATTTATATATTTATATATTTATATATTTATATATTTATATATTTATATATTTATATATTTATATATTTATATATTTATATATTTATATATTTATATATTTATATATTTATATATTTATATATTTATATATTTATATATTTATATATTTATATATTTATATATTTATATTTATATATTTTATATTTATATATTTATATATTTATATATTTATATATTTATATATTTATATATTTATATATTTTTATATTTATATATTTATATATTTATATATTTTATATTTATATATTTATATATTTACACGAATTAATATATGTATAATTTAGTTGTAAATTATTATTATAATATCCTAATAGTTTAGTGGTTGAAGTATCGGTTTTCAATTTTAAGGTACTGGGTTCGATTCTTGCTAGTGACAATTTTTTTAGTTTAAAATAATTTATCTACTGGATAGTAATTCAGTAGGTAATATCCGTAGGTAATGTACACTTTACCTACGGATAGTAATTACGTAGGTAATTACCTACGGAATTATCCACGGATTACATTACCTACAGATAATATCCGTAGGTAATGGATAATTACCTACGGATAGAATTCCGTAGGTAATGTACAATTTACCTACGGATTTTCATCCGTGGGTAATATCCGTAGGTAATATCCGTAGGTAATGGATAATTACCTACGGATAGAATTCCGTAGGTAATATCCGTAGGTAATGTACAATTTACCTACGGATTTTCATCCGTGGGTAATATCCGTAGGTAATGTAAAATTTACCTACGGATTTTTATCTGTGGGTAATATCCGTAGGTAATGTAAAATTTACCTACGGATTTGTATCCGTAGGTAATATTCCGTAGGTAATAGGCTTTTTTTTTGTAGTGTTTGTTGAAGAGCTTTCTTTATTTTCCTTACTCTAGCCCTTATCATAGGTCATGTTCACATCATTCTCTCCCTCTTGAAAAGGATTTGTCCTCAAATCAGATTCGTCATCTACATAAAAAAGAGATAAGTCTGACAAATTGAATGTAAAATTAACATTATACTCACTTTTTATAACTAAATAATTCTCTCTCACTTCAAGTATATTTACTCTTCTTTTGATCACTCTTTTTCCTCTCAAGTGTTTCACTAATGCTTTCTTTCTCTCTCTTTTCTTGAAGAAATTTTTCTCTCATTTTTTATTATCCTCACACACTTCTTGTGGACTCAAAGGTTTGAGCACAATCTTATTGTCTTGGTGCATGAAAGAGATCTTGTTGGTAAACCCGTTATGATTAACTCTTTTATCAAATTGTCATGGTCTCCCCAAAAGTAAGTGACTGACTTCCATAGGAATAATATCACAAAACACCTTATCATTGTATTTTCCAATGGAAATGTCCACTTCAACTTGGTGTCTCACTTGTTCCATCCTTACTAAGTCATTGAAGTTTATATGGCCTAGGATGTGGTTTGGTAGCTAAATTTAGCTTTGATACTAATCTAGCACTAGTCACATTGGTGCAACTACCTCCATCTATAATCATCATGCACACCTTGTCATTGATTAAACATCTAGTGTGAAAAATATTTTTTCTTTGGCTTTATTCCATAGGTTTCAATTGACTATCAAGTAATCGCTTAATCATCAATAAATCTCCCTTTGGAATCTCTTCCTCCTCAATGTCTTCACTCTTTTCTCCCTCTTCAACCTCAGATTCACTTATATATTCTCCCTCTCTAAGAATCATGGTCTTTGTGTTAGGGCACTCATAAGCATAGTGTCTTAGGCCTTGACACTTGAAACACTTCACATCTCTACTTTTTTTAGAGGGTTGTTCTTCATATTTTGAATGAGTCTTTGTAGGAATAGGTGTGGAACTACTAGAAGTAACAACCCCATCTTTCTTGCCTTTGTCCTTCCAACTTGAAAATCCAAAGTTGGTAGAACTCTTCTTAGTAATATTCAGAATCACTTTGTGAGTTGTAGCTCTGCTAGGGTTCTTCCTTACAACACTTGATTTTATCAAGAATTATCCAATTCTTGTGGCGATCCTTCTTGGCTTATCAAATATTCTTATTTGTAGTGCCTAC